TTTTAAAAAAGCTTAACTATTTCATTAATGAATGTCTCAATAGTGAGGCATTAATTAATGACTGGAACTGCTGAGAATCAGCAGTTACCAGCATTACAGAGGCTAATATAACTCGGCACGTACAGTGTACGTGGCCAGTCATATAGCCACTTTGTGACGGGACGTACACTGTACGTCTCCCGTCACGAAGGGGTTAAATAAATATACTTTTCCCAGAAAAGTATTTCTTTAAAATTTTGTCCCAGCACTTAGTTATCATGTTTCAAGGAATAACCAGGTAATCATTTCCAACATTTCTATTAGGTACATTAGTGTGTTGTGATACTGTCTTGTATGTTTGCAGTGACATTGTACTCCTTATGTACTATGGCTCTTATTCCAGTAATAGCCAGTTATTGTACTCTTCTGTTCTCCAAACCCGAGAACAAAAAATATTAGATTGCGGCTTACTAGTCCTTTTGATGTGGTGGCTGCGTTAGTTTTTTGTTTTTTTCAGGCTAAGTAGATTTTCCGCAAGTTATTAAAAAATACCCGTTGATCCTGCAGAAATCCATCATGCTTGTACTTTCTTGTGCATTAAACTAACATTTTCTATATGTTAGATTAGATTATAAGCTCTCACAGGTAGGGCCCTCCATCTTGTATTGCAACTGTACTGTCTTCCTTTACATTGTAAAATGCTGCACAAACTGTCACTATATAAATCCTGTATAATAATTATAATGGTTATAATATCTGCTCTCACCAGTTCTCTTCTGTGAACTTCAAAATGGGCAGGGGGAGGTGTTTGTTGTCCCAATCAGGAGAGCAGATTAGAGTGACAACATCTGCTTTTCCATACTATATGGTATGAGAGAGATGCCGACTCAACATAGAACAAAGTGTGTTACTGGTAGGATCACGTGGTGAAAAGAAAGGTAAAAACCCTCAAAACAAAAACATTTACGTTGACACCACATCTAAGGACTGGTGAACTGCAATATATCAAATTTTTGTTCTTGGGTTTGTCTCCTGCGGTCTATTTATTTCTCAATGGTACATTTGTTCTGCTTAGCATTGTGTATTCTAAAAAGGTTGACTAACAACATGATCTTAGGTGTGTAGCAACTCAAATTCATTGTGAGTTATTTTGCCTTGATAGCTTTTATAATTATATTACTGAATAATATTGGCTATTTTACATGGGCAGGCTTTTTCTCATTGAGTTATTTTAATGCAGTATGTATTAATGCATTAAATGGCTGCAAAAACTAGATCTAGGCCACCAAATATCT